AACTAGGTTTAAACTTATAAAAAATCATGTTATGTCTTATAGCTCAATTTATTTATTTATATAATATAATAAAAATTAATATAAATATTTTATTAATAATATAAATAAAAAAATAATTATATTAATATTAAACTAATTGTATTGAATAATTGTGTCATTTTTTAAATTACTAAATTTTATGATAATTAAATTTGAATGAATATTATCATAGTTATTTTAATTTTTTTAAAAAATAAGAGTTTATTATTGAAAGTATGTCAAATGAGATGATTGAAATAATTAAAAAAAATCTTTTTTAATAAGATTAACCTCTTTTATTATAACATACATAGATGTACATGAGTTGTCCCTTTAACAAAATAATAATTTCATTTATTTTCTCTTTACTCGATACCTTGAGACCTCATGTACAATATGTATTTTTAAATTTGTAAATTATTATCATAATTATTTTAGTTTGTTAAAATATGAGTCAATTATTTAGAATATTTCAAATAAGATATAGGAAATATTTTAAATATCTTTTATACGATTATTCCTTTTTTATTATAGATTTAGAGGCTTAATGTATGTGCATAAATGTAAACCAAACATATGTGACTGCTGAGTGACTGCAGATCAATTGTCTCTCTAATGGAAAATGATTCTAAACTTGTAGTGTATTTAAAAATAAATTTGTTGACTTTTTAAAAATTAAGTTTATTGACCTAGTTAACATTATTAATATAAAATAGGTTTTAAAATAGGGTAATAAGTCAAACAAGATTTTAAAAAGGTCAAGACAGACCTATAAAAAAAGGCTCATGATATATACATTTTTTTAACAAGTACACCTTCTTTATTTTTTTAAAAAAAATTCCTAAAATACCCATTATTTTTTATTCCTTAATTTTTTAATTTTATACCTTTAACTTCCAATTTACTTTTTTCTTTTTCACACACCTTCTTCCTTCTCTTTTTCAGTTTTCATATGTATCTTTTTTGTCTTTCTCCAATTTTCCACCTATTTCAATAGGTAGTTTTATTTTGCGAAATTTTTACATTACTCTCCTCTCCCCTCATCTCTTTCACTTTTTCGCATGCACCTAGACCGTAGAATTGATACGCGATAACATTGTAGGTACGTGCGGCTTCCTCGACAATTTCTGCCGAACTAGATGCACATTTTTTCTTCAACCCTTCCTCTCCTTTTCCACCTCCAAAAACCTTACTATTAAATTTAGTATTTTCAAAAAAATATTTTAGAACATTAATTTCACTATTCTGGAATATTTTTTGAAATAATAAATTTAGTGTTTCAAAAAGTACTTCCGAAAGTATGTAAAATATCACGCTTTAAATTTTGATTCGAAGCTCTTCAATATTAAATCTCTACACAATATCTCAACTATCTCCAAGGAAAGATCTTAGAATGCTCTTGTGGAATCAAAAGAGGAAGGAAATCTTTTTGGTTGTAGAGCTCCTCTATAACTTCTCTTTAATTTTCTTAATAATTGAACTTATGAAGTCCACTTCTTAAGAAAGAGTTTATATATCTTCTTTTAATTGATTAACCTTGAGCTTTGCTCAAAATAATTCTTAAACAACAAAACTTATTAGGATTCCTAATCTTAGAGTTTCACAACAATTAATCAACTAATTACAACAACATTTAAATTAATAAAAATATCAAGTATTAACAAAATTGTACAATTTTACATTATGCGGCACGATAACAACTAGATGGTCCCACTTGTCAACCTACATCAATGAATAGTACATGACACATCATCAAAACTAAAATGACAATGAAATATGTGCCAAAATAAGATTGGAAGGACTATCCAAATGATTAATGTCATTTTGGTCCTAACATATACAACTTATTGTCATTTTAGTCACTAAATAATTTTGAGAATCTATAAGGGGTGAAAGTTGAACTTAGATTTCTTAGATAGTTAAAACAACTTTAAACACTAAATCACTATGATCATTTAATTAATAACTTACAAATTTTATTTGTATATGATATATGATGTCTTGAATATAAATTTAATTCAAATTTCATTGAACTTTGACCCCTTTATATATGTTAACTTGCATTTAGAAAATCATCTTGAACTCATAAAATAATCGAGTTATAAGGGGTGATAGTATTCTCACTATTTTATTGATTTTTTTATTATAAAGGAGTATTACTATTTTTCTTCAGATCAGTTTCTTATAGAGATAAAGTGCTGCCTCCAGTCATGACTTCATGTCAAGGGAAATGGATCATCTGACTTTATGGAGGGAAAATTATGGTAACTTAATGCATTTAAACCGCTGGATTTGTAATAATAGATTAGATTGTGACACGTGTACATTTAAGTCAAAATATATATTACACTTGTGTCGCAATCTGATTTATTTTTATAAATCTAACTGTTTAAATGCATTAAATTACCGTAACTTTCATGTTTCAAAATTAGAGAATCTGAATCCTCAGGTCAAGAACGAGATCAAACCTCAATCTTTGATTAAGGAGCACAAGTGTCAAACCTTTTAAGGTAACAACTTTTAATTTTCACTTTAGTTTATTACAACAATAATCTTCATATTTATAAAAGTCAAATGATTATTTTTGTTGTGTTATCTTTCAGCCTTTATAAATAAAATTAACAAGTAAATTACACGGGTTTTATTGACTTAAAATTTTATTTAAATATTATAATATTTTTCTATATTATATTATTAAAAATTTAAACTAAATTATATTATAGTAATAATTAATTTATTTGATTATATATAATTTTTTTTTAAAAAAAATCTAACTCAACATTGATTTAATTATGATTTGATCAATAAATTATAAATTAATAATTCGTTAACTAATGCAAAATGTTTTATATAAAAGGGTTAAGTAGTTCAATACATTTTGAATAAATTTCATGTACCAAGATATCATGTATAAATAATTTTGTAATTTATTTACTAACCGCTGCTTGATAGACGCAAATTAGAGGGAAGAGAATGAGAAAAGTATGGAATTCTGTGAAATGTTATTAAACAATTCCTACTTGGTAAAGATGATTTGAAGGGATTTGTGTGAAATTTTGGTGAGACCTACAGGAAAAAAAATTCATGCGAAGATGATTGGATTTGCATAAATTTTATTATTTAAAATATTATATTCGTTCATCAATGTATTATATATACTAAACATATAACACATGATAGTCAAATTTTTAGATATAAAATTTAAAATTTAATAACAAATTACAAAATAATAATTGTTACATTTATTTAATAGAAAATTGTTAAAATAATTTATTTTATAAAAATTTAACTATTTAAAATATAATTTTAAAACTATAAATTTCACTCAATTTTCATATAATTTAATTTTACTAGTCAACTACAAATTTCACTTTATTTCACTATATTTTCTACCTAATTTCCACTCTAACAAGCATAACATAAAGGACACATGGACTATATTTTCTACCTAATTTCCACTCTAACAAGCATAACATAAAGGACACATGGTGATTTAGTGGTTAAAGTTGTTTTTAACTACTTAAGAGATTTAAGTCCAAATCTATATGCTTACAAATGTTCAAAATTATTTAAGGATTAAAATGACAATAAGTGATATTATTTAGGGATTAAAATAAAAATAAATTATATATTAAGAACTAAGGAAGATGTATTAGATTAGAATTTTAAATGACTTTTTTAGTTGAAAAAAAAGTCTTGTGAATTTTAAAAAATTTATAGAATTTTCATGACTTTTAAGGCTTTATAGAATTTTACAAATTTTTAAATCAAGATTTTAGTGAATTATACAAAACTTTTAAGTCAGAATTTTAATGAATTCTGTGAGACTTTGTAGACTTTACAAAACTTTAAATTAGGATTTTAGTGAATTATACAAAACTTTTAAGTCATGATTTTAATGGATTCTGTGAAACTTTGTAAACTTTACAAAATTTCGTGAATTTTTTTATATACGATAAAAGTTCAAGATTTATTTTCATACATTCAAATTTAAAGAGAATCAAAGATAAAAATAATAAAAAAATAATATCCGGATAAATAATAATAATAATAATAATTTTCCGTAATATCATGTTTTCCTAAATATTATTCACCCACAAAAGGTTTAATTGCTATATATATATAGGATATACATTATTATTTCTATATTTTAGATATTTAAACATTCATTTATTCAATTGAAAAATATTATATAGTATAGACAAATATCTCAAACTCAATAATTAAAGTTGTTAGTTAACTGTGGTAAAGACCTTTAAATCTAAATTGATTACAAAGTCTTAAAGATTTACAGTTAATTGTGGAGATCATGATATTAATTTCAGCTTTCAACTTTCTATTTTCTTGACGCGTGTTATAAAAAAATTATTACTTAAAAGTTGAATATCAATATTATTTTTTGAATATCAATGAATTATTTTTAAGTTGTAAAAAATTTCAAATGAATACTAATAAATTTTAGTAGACTCTTTAAAAAATCTTTAAAATTCAGATCGAATATCATTGGATTAGTTTTAAGTGACTTAAACACAACAAATTTTTTTACTTAAATTTTTTTTTTTAAAATTCTATAAAATTCCAAACTAATACACCCGTAAATGTGATATTATTTGAATAATCCTTTAGTATTTATTACTTTGGCTAAAGCTTCACTACCATTTGGGTCCTAAAGACATGTTATGTATTGTTGATTTATGTATTCAAAAGTTAATTTCCAGTGTTAACGTTTGAATGAAGACATATAATTAAAAAATGAGTAAAATAAAGTTTGAAAATTAATATATAATTTTTATATGTTAGATACTATTATAGCAGTGGTGTACAAAGTGGAGTATGAGAATATTAGTATTATAATGTATAAATAATAAATATTATTTGGTGGAAAGAAGAAGATCTGAATTTAAAAATAAAAAATAAAAATGAAAGGACAAGAAGAGAGGACCCTACAAAATCCTCACATGCTAAGCGCCAAAAACAAACATCCTTCTCCATCCGCTGACTTCTTCAACCGCTTCCCAATCCCCTGCCTCGCGGACCACACCCCACCACGCACCGCACCCAATCACCCTCCACCGTCCTCTCCACCAAACATCAGGCATCCACGTGTCGCCGCGTGATTCGTTGAAAGCGTGGTCCGCGCAGCAGAGAAGACGCTGACATGGGCTATAAAACACAGGCCCCACATTTGACCACGATCCACGTGACTTTGACCCTCTGATCCGTTCGAAGCGCTTCGCCTCTTCCAAACCCAAACCCAACCCTCAATCTCATAGGATTAATTCATTTTCGTTTTCAGCTTTTTCTTCTTAATCTCTTTCTCTCTCTGCAAACCAAACCCTAGGAAGAAGAAAGAACCATGCGTTCCTAGATCGTGATCTGGTGCGGGCGCCAACACCGTAGGATTGCAATGGCGAACGAATTGTTTCAGAATTGATTGCGGGAATTGCTATTATGTCTGAATTGGTGGCCCGTACGGGTCGGCATCAACAGCGATACGAGAACGGTTTTCGTCTTGTTGCAGGGTAAAACGACGCCGTTTCACATTCTATATCCTCATTTGCATCTTCTTCTTTAGTACTTCTTTTCTTTTTCATTCTAATAATTGATACTCATAAAAAAAATCATTTATGTCGCTTTCGTACGGAGCGCGTAATTTTTTATTTTTTATATTGGGTTGAAGAATTGTGATGGTGACTGGCTGATGATGATGTTTAGGTTTTGGTTGAGATGCCTTTTTGTTGATGCATGTGGCTATCACGGTGTTTTTTTGGGATTATGAAGTTTTTTTTATATATATATTTTTATTATAGGGAACATCGTGTGATTAGTTAATCATGATAAAGGTTATAAATTGCAGCCACAATTTTGTTGCAATTTTTTATGTTGTTGTGCACACGCACTGTTTCTTAGAACCCTGATCTCGAATGATCAACCGTGTAAGATAGATTACGAAAGGTTAGATTTTAATATAAATATAAATATTATTATATTATAACAAATTTATAAATTAACATTGTGATTATTTATTATAGATAGATGTTGTAAATGTTGTTTATAGAGAGTGTTGGTTTTGGAACAGGGGATGCTAGAATAATTGAAAAAAATGGAGAAGTTTATTTCGGTGCATTGACTTTCTGTGCCTTGCATATACGCCAAAAAGTGTTAGGTGATTGTGTTAACTTGACTTTAGAGATACATTCCAATTTTTTTTGAGTTTGATACGATCACACTTTGGTCCCGTGTGGTTGTGTTTTGTACACATAGCATATGCCTTTTTTTGACTAAGTCTTGGGAAGTTAGGTTGAATATAGGGATATGCAGATATCATGAGTCTTTTATTTACTAAACTAGCATGATAGTGATCACATGAATCCTGGAAATTTCAGTAAGATGCAACACCAATGGACTTTTGGTAAAGAATTAGGGTTTATAATTTTTGTCACCATTTTGTCATTTTAATCTCAGTAGTGCTGCCAAATTATTTTGTTGGCTTAATTTTAAATTTTTATCCTGTTGCTTCTGAAGGAGTCTTGGCAGCTTTAAAACTGCTTCTTTTTTGTCATCCTGCAAATTAACACTTGACTAGTTCAAGTGCATTAAGGCTTTTACTATAGAAATTTGTGTTCAGATTGAATAGTATAGGACCTGAAATTTATTACTCATTTTTATGAATGTGAATGATTTGGAGTTACCTAACCAACTAGTGCAAATGGAATTTTTTGGTTTCACTTTTCTTTGTTTTTCTGATTAAATTTAAGTTCATTAGTTTGTTATTTGTTTATATGGATGCAGATTTATTATATTGATAGTTATAGTTATATAAGAAAATGGATGAAAATGAAATGACTTAATCGTTTCCTCCCCCACAGAAGTAATTGTCATATCTATTTTTTATGCAATCTCATATGAACTAACAATATGTATTTGGAATATGCAATTGTAATGGAAAAAAATTTGAAAGATGTATGTTGACTGAACTTTAGCCTTTTTAATTGAGCCACTTTTATTACAACAATCAATGATTTTCACGCTTTCAGCTAGGCATTGTGTGGTTTTTATTTAATATAGTTGTTTTGGTTATGTATACTCAAAGATCTGATCTGGAGATTCTTATTGGGTTGCAGGTGTGTTCCATTTAGGTATAAAAATTCTAATGATTGTGGAGACTCTAGTTCTAATAAGATTGTTGAAGTGCTTATGATTAATTCACCAAGTGGACCAGGTCTTTTGTTTCCAAAGGTATATTTTTCTGATGAAGTGAAATTAGGTTGTGTCTGAAACTTGAGCTATTTGCTGGAATTGACTGCTTTAGGTGACAAAGGATTTCGGGACTCTAGATTCTACAAATTTTTTCATTATGGTCTATGTATGGCTCTAGGATTTTTGGTTTGATCGGATTTGTTTATAGGAAGTATTTTGTAACATATATTAAAAAACCATAATTTAAATTGAAGACATGAGTTCAATGTTATTATATGTATGATGATTTATGCAGATGATATAATCCACTTACGGTTCAACATCCAAGTAAGCATATATATATTTCTCAATGATCTTTGGTTTGAATGGCTTTGTTTTTAGGAAGTATTTTCTAACATGTATTAAATAACCATAATTTGAATTTAAGACACGAGTTCAATGTTATATTATATGTATTATTTATGCAGATGATATAGTCCACCCACAGTTCAACATCCAATTAAGCTTGCTTTATGCTAAATATATATGAGTATTGGGTATTTTTAGTTTTAGAACCTAGTTGGCTAGTTTTTGTTCCAATCATGTCTTTGTTCATTGTTTTATTAAAATAGTTTAAATCAAATTTTCTTTGTTTTGGAGAGATGATAAAATAGGTACCGTTTATTGCACCATGTTATTCCCCTTAGTAAATTAGACCTTATTGTAAATTTGTTAAATATCAATACCAAACCTATTGATGAGGCACTTCTGCTAAATTGCATTATATTTTGATGCCTCATGATAATTAACTGCAACTGAAAGGTCTGTTCAAAATGATTGCTGCTACTTTAGTTTTACTTTGTTTTCTAACTTAATCTGCTTTAGATCAGCTGGGCATTGTTTTCTGGAAGGGCCCCTAATAGAGATGTAATTTCTGATTATTTTGATATTATTTTCCATTGAAAGGGAGGTTGGGAGAATGATGAAACTGTTGAGGAGGCAGCTGTAAGGGAAGCTATTGAAGAAGCAGGAGTTCGAGGAGACCTAATGGTGAAAAACTTACCCACTCATGAATTCATTTGACTTTTAGTGTCGGTAATATAGTTATTGGGTTTATCTGATATTGTCTGTATTCTTTAATGGTTTCATAGTGAGAATCTTGGATCACTTGGGATAAGTGGTAATCTAGGAGGCTTATGTGAAAATCGTATAATTTGTGATGATATTTTTTTGTTGTGAGTGGGTGTCTGATGATAATTATTGCATTTGAAGTCTTCTCTTATATTTAACTTGACTTTTGGTTCTTTGTGAAAACACAAGATGCCACATCATTTAAAGCTTGGTGGATATGGCCCTAAAATATAGATTATATTAGTACATGATTTTGGTTTCATTTATTTGTTTAGGCATGTTGTTATCCTTTAATTCTTCTATTGCTGCACCTTGAAATTCTAGTACATTTAATTTTCTTTATTTTGACTGCAAACAAGGTTAATATTTATCATTTGCATGGATAATTGCAAACTGATGGGTGATATCTATGGCTACTGGTTGTCAGGATTTTCTTGGATACTACGAGTTTAGGAGTAAGACCCATCAAGATGAGTTCAGTCCAGAAGGTTTATGTAAAGCAGCAATGTTCGCCTTGTTTGTCAAGGAGGAACTCGAGTTATGGCCTGAGCAAAGTACCAGAAATAGGAGTTGGCTAGCTGTATCGGAGGCCCTTGGAAGCCTCCGGCATGCTTGGATGAGGGATGCACTGGAATGCTTCTGTAAATGGCATGAGGATAAGTTGGTGAGTGGAATGAATGGATAGACGGATTTGCCGATTAATTACTTTTAGGGCATTGTGTATCTCTTTGTGATAAAAACATTTCTCATTACTTTAGGACAGATAATTCTAAATCAGAATTGCGTAGTTATTGTTTCGAATCTGTCGATCGATCTCTGATTTTTTTAATTCAGAGTAATTCATAACATTGGATTCTAGTTGAGACTTGAGATGCTTGATCGCGTTGTTTTGATTCTTATCTGTTCATCCCTATTGCTTGATCCTTTTACGGCAAACAGATGATGACTAGAATCATGCAGTGTTCTTTCAGCAGTAATTATTATTTATTGCAGGAAACACATGTAAGATCGACAAAATTATAACTTGGTTTCATCACGTAAAATTTACTCTTATTTAAAATGAATGTGTAAGCTCAGCAGCATTGCTTCATTGTTATTTCTCCGTTATGCAGAAAAATGGAGTCAGCATAAGAAATGTGCATATTTTTTTTGGTATTAATAAGAGTAATGCTTGTCATACAATCTAACACAAGGTGTCTCTCTTGATTTAGTGGTAAGATTCACTAAAATTTATAATTTTCAATAAATGTTAAGAGAAAGTGTTAACAGAGTGATAGAGTGAGGGTTGTTGACATTTCTCTATAGAAATGACTTTGGGAGATTTTAAACTACTTAGCCAACTCAATATTGTGGGAAAAAGTAATTACTCGCTCAATTTCTTGCAGTGATAAATGTGAGGTGAATAAAGTTCAAATCATGCACAATTGTCGAACTGAATGTCAAGGGTGATTAATTGCACACGGAATAATGAAACAAAATCCATTCAAGAATTATCCCACTGTACAATGCAATTGTATTATTTTGAATAAAGAGTTGACTGTGAAGTGCAATATTTACAAAACTATAAGCAAATACATATATACCTCAATCTGGGACTATAATTTAATCAAGTTATGTATATAAAATGGCCTAAGCTAAGAATAAATCTGTACTAACTTCACTCCTTCCACTTCTGTATGTAAACATGAAGAAATATTAGTCAAAAACAGTATTCCATCTTTCAAAACATTTAGTTTGAAGGGCAGCAAAGTTTTCTTGGCACAAAGTAGGGCCCAGATAAGCATATGCTCAAGAGCTCTATGAGAATCAAATTATATGAGAAAAGCGTTCATGATCTGCGTACGTAGCACATCAAATTCTCATCATTCATCAAGGAAAAAATCAGCAGGGTCTCCTACCCGAGGCCTCCCTTCCCTCCACTGGAACTTTATTCTTATCTTGCCATTCGCATCTACCCCTACCACCCGGCCCTTGCTGGCATGCGTCTCCATTCCCCAACCCCACCTTGGGCTCACCAATCCATCTTTTATTCTAACATTGTCTCCCACTTTAAATGGCCTTACTTGTTCCATTTCCCATGCCTTACAAAGCCATAGCCTCTCCATAAAACAGAAAGCCACCCACAGATCCTCATCTTCCATCCGATGCACCACTCCTATGCTTGAATGAGTCACCTCTCCCCAATGGTGGGTTGGGGTTGAAACTGATGCTTTAACCTTGACCCAGTCTCCAATACAGAGCCCCTTCTGTTCTACCACCTCTACTTCTGATGGGTCCAACATCCATGCTCTTGATTCTGGTGGTGTGTGTATTCGAAGCTTTCCATCACCATCAATGGCTTGTATCGTTTCAATGCTTGCATGGGTGTGACCAGACCACCCAAATCTTGGTTGCTTTACGTTAAGTTTAACTCTAACCTTCTGTCCAGCAAAGAGTTTGTGAACTCTTTCAAGGTGGGAACTTGGTCCTTCCCATTTTTCTTGCTCTCCACAAAAGGCAACATAAGTACTTTTGTTCCATTCTTCTCCTTCATGCCCTATGCCTTGCACAACACCAACACTACCTGGCCCTATTGAGTTCCAATCATTGGCATCATCTTTTAATCTCACCCACTCTCCCACTTCGAACATCTGTTCAATTTCCAGGTCTGCAGGGTCTCCTCTCCACAATCCTGACAAACCAAAGAATGCCACCTTCACTTCTCCATCAGCATGAATGCTGGTTAAAACGCCTCGAGATTCAGGCTGAGCTCCTCTCCAACCCCACCTCGGTTCCACTAAACCAGTTCTGAACCTAACATACTGACCAACTTTAAAGCAAGGAACCTTTTCAACTTCTGTATAATGAGTCAATGACTTTAATTTACGGAAACAGAAAGCCAGTTCCAAGTAACCAGAATCCTGTACACTATGAACAACAGCTATACTTCCAACTCCATTCAAGTCATTACTTGATCTGCTTCCCAGGCTCGGTTTTGAGCATACCCAGTCACCAACTTCAAATCCTGGAAGTTGTTCCACATCTCCAGGTGAAACTTTCCACAGGCTCTTCCTACCAGAGACCCTCACCTACAATGAAACCAGCAAAGTCACTGTGTCGATAGTTAAGTGATGCAATCACAAATAACCTTGTCAACAAAATGTTTTATATGAAATTTAGGGCTTGTTTTCTTTGAGAAAACATTTTCTGTTTTCACTTTTAATTACAAAAATATCACCTTAATTTCACTTTGTTTATGTTGTCAAAGGTTTGTACAAAAAGCAGTCAAAAAACAATTTTTTTTAATTTTCTTTTATATTTTCACTATTTCCTATACAAACTTTTGAAAACAGGGAGCCAAAAATTAAAATAAAAAATATTTTCCCAAATCAGGCCAAAATTTCATGTCAGTACAATAACTAGCATCATATTTTTATTTCAAGATTACAACAGGGTTTTTATTTGAAGCATATTGCTTTCAAACTTAAATTTTAGTCTTATAAGGCGGCAGAAATGAATTGGCTCAGTCCACCTAAATTGGGTGAACTGAATAAAACGCAACGGTTGCAAGTATCTACTGTGATGAACAATAATATCCTAGGAAATGTCTATAACTCTGGTTTTAGAAGGTTTCTATACCCAACTAAAATAGCAACACCAAAAACTGTATTAGGTCCGCTTTTGTTAAAAATAATTATAGGTATGATATCTTGTGCAAAATTTAGAAGAAAAAACCAAATATATGATCTTACATTGAGTGCACCATCCAGATCAATTCTTGCTATTTTTCCAACAGTTGAGGGTGATTGCTCGGACCATCCAAGCCGCGGCTGGTTGACAGATGGCATCACATGAATTTCTTGCCCCACCTCAAAATGGGGAACTTTCTCAACATCAGTGACTGAGCAAGTAAAAAGCTTATTCCTGAAGCAAAAGGCAATACCTATATCGCCATCCTCCTCCAAGCTATGAATTACTCCAATACTGTTTCTTGTAATATCCTCCCACCCATATCTTGGAGCAGACACTGAAGCTTTAACTCTAACCCAATCTCCAACCTGCAGTTGGACAAAAATAGCAAAACAACAAATTAAGCAAAGTTGATAATATAACATCTCATAGTATATGAAATGAAGAAACTTAAATCGGTAGATAAAAGCCAACAAGTACCACCTTAAAGTTTTCCACCTTCTCCATATCTGACGGATCTGCCTGCCATGGAACAGGTCGGTTTGGTATATCTATAATTAGGAGACCATCACTCTCAATCTCTCTTATTTTTCCAACACTATGATGTGTCTCACCTCCCCAAGCATATCTAGGTTCTGCAACAGATCGCTTAACACATATCTGATCACCAATCTGTAAGAGAAAAAAATAGTTGATACAAGTCATGCAACTAAGGAGAAATACAAACTGTCATAAAAGAAAAATTAGATTAAGAGTCTGAATACAAAATTAGAAATGCTTTTTAGAGCTCTTTTACTCGAAAACACTCTTTATTTCCAGTAGAGAAATTCTAAAAAATACTTTTAACTTACATCCAAACGGACTCTAACTTGTTTCTTACCCTAAAAGGAACAACATGCTCGACCTCCTCTGGTTCACAATGCCATGGAGTTTGAAGATAACTCAGTTCAATTAACAGACTACTGTCTGGTCTGATACAATATACAATGCCAATGCTTCCTGGTGTCACAGATCCTAACCCATACTTTGTAGATGTAAGAAAAGGACGAATACGAACCCAGTCTCCAACCTTGAATTGCTCAACCCGTTCCATCTCTCCTGGGTCAGCTTTCCATCCTCTGGATTGTCCAGGAAACCCAACTCGGATGATACCATCATCATCAACACATAATACTGTTCCAATGCTGTCATGAGATTGCCCAGGCCAACCGAACCTAACAAGGTAATTAGTCATTAATATCACTGAAAATAAGTGAAAGAAATTCAAGCATATGTCACGCACAAGGAACTAGTTAATAAAATCTATATAGTCAAGAATAGGTTCTTCTCTATTCTCTTTCCCTTCT